AATGATGTTTACATTTAGTGTTAAAATTCAAAAATTCTCTAATTTTGGATTAAAACCAACGGATATTTCTACAGTAGATTTGGGTGGTAAATCTGACATTTTAATCATAAAAGATTTCTTTTTCTGGTTATGTAGAAAATGTCAATAACACATGCGATCCCATATAACGCAGGCCCATATTATCTCTCCTATATTAAAAGTTCATTTAGATGCTGGTGGTTGCCCCCCCCCCCCCACACACACACACACAGACACTTTTTTTGGCTATAAGGTCGAGCACTGGAAAATTTCGAAATTCTTTTTTTGAAAAAGTGTACTAAAAAGTATGAAAAAGCTTTAACCCCCCCCCCCCCCCAGGATTTTTTGGTTCGCACAGTTTCCTTTTCTTTTTTTTTTAATTTTCGGTTTTTTGCTTGCTTTTCAGATTATATTTTGGAGGCCCTCCTTTTTTTAAAACCATTGTTAGGGGTCTGTGAAGTAATTTTTAATACCCTCAGCATCAGCTTTTTTCTCAGTTTTATTTCAGTTCGAATCAAAGTAACTGTTACAATCTGCATTTTCCTTTTCATTCCCAAAAATATCACTCACTAAGATGGTCTGTATAATAATCCAATGAACCGCTATAAGCTCAGTACATTCATTAAATAATATTTTATTTTTACTCTTCATTCCAAACAATTATATTACTCCAAATACCCAATTTTGCGTAGCTGGATAAAAAAAATCTGAGTAGTTTTCATTCAAGTATGCAATCTGAAAGAATTTCTTCATGGGCCATTAACATTTTTGTCTTTTGTTAAAAGTCAGTCTCAGGTAAATCAAAGTGTCATTTAAAGTGCTATGTTTAAAGAACGAGATAAACCTCATACAATGCTGTATGAAAAAAAATCTCAGTGTTCGGCCATAACGGGCCTTAAACTGTCTGATATTTATCATACAGAACTGTATTCGGCATATATCCATTACTTACAGTCATACTTCACTTAAGTGAATGGCAGAGTTTCATCCGGTGATTTCATAAAGTTCATTATCATTATTATTAACATGTTAAAACTCAGATGTGGTAGTGAAATATTGAACTTTTTTCTAGTGCGTATACATTTCTTATGCTTTCAGTTTTCTATCTTATACCCTTTATTTCAAAAGAAAGCATTATATAACAGTATATGATTCTTTATAACTTTTCCTCTAATAATCTTTAGAGTGATATTTTGAAAACTCTATCGTAACATATAAGCATTAAAAAGACAAATAAAAAGCAAAAAAAAAAAAAAAAAAGTAATGCCCACGTTACCTTTGTCAAAGCTGATAGTTTTCCCAGAAAATTCTGCTGTTGTATCTGGAGGACACTGAAATCTTCCATGCATAGTAACTACATTGTCTCCCTTCCACTCAGAGACATTCAGATACAAGGGCCTTATTTGTGGTTTTTGAAGAACCCTTATAACTTTGGAAGCCTGCTATTTAGAAACTTAAACTAATTAGCCTTTTACTATTGCAGAAAATATAATTGTCACAGATGGTCATTTAAAATAAAACAGAATATAATCCATTCTAAATAATGATAAACTAATAATGATTAAGAGAACTAATTTTGAAAAGCCACCCTCTTTCATTGGTAACTTGTGCGAGAGTCTTGTCTTTCACAGGTTTGCTTCGGGTGAAAAAGAACGTTAAGATTTCACTTTTTTTTTTTTAAAGAAATGAATTTTCTATTCGCAAATTGTTGTTGAAATTGATCGGCTTTTTAATTTTTTTCCTGCTAAAGACTGTATTATAAATAATAATGATAAACAAATGCACTCACACAGCGACAATTGCCAATAAGGAACCATATGATAAAAGCAGCAAAACCAGAACTACAAGAAAACATGGCACCAATCATACTTGGACCTTGCACAAATCTGCAGAATTATACTGATCTTTGATTTAGTACAATCCTTTTGATATATTTAAATGTCCTAGCTATAGAGCATAATTTTTATATTTTAAAGATTTTTATAATGAGTTATAATTTCCTCTGCTAATAGAACCATTCTAACGGTAGAAGGTGATCATGCAAATGCCAGAGATGTATCTCTCGGTCATAAAGCCAAACAGCTCCAACCTTTATTAAGCTATTGACATTCAAAATTCAAAATATCAGGTTCATATCTCGTTTGATTTCAAATTATTTCAAATTCGTCAACAAATTAGTAGATAGCATGTGAAATGTAGATACACTAACTCATATGAAGCATGCGTGTATTCCTTCATGTTTAAACTGGAAATGCTTGTCGCAAGGAAACACAGAACAAACAAACATAAAAGGATATAAATACATGTATATACAAGTCAGTAAATCAAGGATAAACTAAAAAGTCCACATCTAATACACTGAGCGCCTAAGTCGTGCGGCTTTAGAGTCTAAAAAAATTATGTGTATATATCTGCGGCTTTCTGAAAGCTCTCACTAGGGCGCCTGTCTACGTCACAGCATTTATGTTTCTATGATTGCAGTGATAATATATATAAATGCAATACTGTGTCTGTGATTGTGTCAATTCCTTTCGCCCCTGTTACTATGATTATCACTTGTATATATACTATATTTTATTTAACACAACTCGCAAGTTTGTAAGCTTTTTGATATTGAGAATAAAATAATTCTTTATTTATTGTATATAAAGCATTAATATAAAAATCAGAAGATATGGGTTATATCGAAAGATCACTCAATAATTATTTATAAAAGGTTATTTTAAATGGTGCTAGGAAAGTTCATTCCACATTTTTTTTTTCATTTTGAAAGAAATACAATGAGAAAATATTTCAAATTGGTGATATTTCATGTTCACAGAATCCATTCTTGCTACGGATAAGGTTTTTACTGTGTTTTGTTGAAACTAAAAGGGGGCGGTAGGTATTGAAACAGATGATATCTGTGCAGAAAAATCAGGGAGGTTGCATATTTGCGAAATATCTTAAGGACAAAGATCAAAATATCCTCTCAAATACCTATGCAAAATTTATGAAGTCCGTATAGAATTCCAAAACGACAAACATACTCTTTTGAAAAGTTACTAATCTATCTTTTACCTAAGCTCATCAGTTTTGTATGATGTTAAATAAGCTGTGAAGAAACAAAAGTAAATAATCCTACATTTTTACATAGAATGACCAGTAGTTCTATGATTTTGTTGTTTTAAAGATGTTTATATATATTTGCATATGGAATAAAAAATTTCCTGCTTAAATTGTTTGTTTTAAATCGAAAGCACAATGTTATGATTTCGTCAGACTGGAAAATTAATCTCTTCAGTTAAACACTATTTTGAAATTTTCAAAAATGTTTTTTTGGAAAGAACTTTCTTACGCCATATATGTCAAAGTTATAGAATAAGGAAAGATAAATCTAAGTAAGGATGTAATCACAGCCCCTCGGACGTCATTCACTTCAACAAAATTATGGGTATACTCACAGAGATGTTCCTGTTCTTAAGCGCTCAGAGTATTAAATGTGAATTTGATAATTCATACTGAATTTCCTTCGCAGCACAGTTAAGGCTACTGTAAAAAAGCCTAATTTATAGGGAAACGTTCACTATGACGTCACACAAAAATATCAGGTCTTCAAATTACCACAAAATGAAATTATTTGCTATTTTAAACTGTAGGATAGCTCTAGATTACATTAAAACTTACTATTACATGCAGTTTTGTCGTTATGTAAATCCCATACAGCAAGATGATCTCAATGCACTCGTCAATGTGACGTCATACGGTAAAAGTTGACGCAGTTTGTACGCAGTGAGAGGCTGATAAAGTTACATTTTGTACAATGAAAAATGTGTTTTGTAATCAAATAAAATACTATTTGTAGATACATAAGATGCCATTAACTTGCATACGATGTGTATTTTACTATTTTATTCATATACTTTCCGTACATTCTCTAGAAAAGTGATACTGTCCTATATTTGTATGCAGATTCATTGGGAAAGTAATAGAATGGTCCTAATAAATCGATACATTGCAAGAACATACCCTCAATGGATCATGCCAAGCTTTTTCACATAAACTCAAGAAGCATTAAGATATCTAAAAAGTGCTGTGAAACTGATAAAATCTCGCAAATAAATTAATTATATCTATATTTAATAAAGTTGACCAGCAAAATATTCAACATGCGATCTAAATAATGGTATTTTAGCAATTAGATAGTAGAATCTATATAGCTTCGCAGCGCCTTTCACAGAGTACAAATAGTGTTGAAATAAAACATAAATTAAGATTAGATTATAAACTTGGTTATGCATTTGCAATATTGGAATTTATAGATAATTTCAATACTCCAAGTAACTTGCTAAAATCATGTGACTCCGATATCACGTGACAAGTCTGAATAAAAAGTCTAAACGTCCTTAACATGTAAATTTGAACCACATTACGTTTGCTGATATCAGTAAAGTCCTAAAAGGAATTGACCATCCTTGTAAAGAATGCCGATATTTACATTTGGAAACTGTACTGCGTTACTTTCATATATTTATATACTTTAATATTCGTCCCTTCTGTGTTGTCTTTAAGACAAGCACTTATTTGTTTAAACATGATGGAAAAACATTCAAGTTTCACGCCAGTTGACGTGTCTATATTTTACATGGTTTGAATAGTATCTACATATTCGTCGACTAATTTGAAATATTTCGAAATCAAATGAGACATGGATCTGACATTTTGAGTTTTAAATGTCAATATCCGAATAAAGTTTTAGCTGTTAAGCTATGTGAGCGAGAGATACATCTCTGGCATTTTCATGATCACCTCCCTCCGTTAAAAATTGTTTTATTAGCAGAGTAAATAATAACCCATTATAAAAAAAATTAAATATCTCATTAAAACAAAAATTATGCTCTTTAGCTAGGCATTTAAACTTATCAATAGGATGGTTCTTTATAAAAGATCAGAATATTTCTGAGTACAGACATAATCCTTTAGATTTGTGCAAGGTCCAAGTACGAATAGTACCATGTCGTTTTGTAGGTGTAGTTTTGCCGCTCTTGTCATATGGTTGGTTATTGAGAGCTGTAGTTGTGTAAGTATATTCGTTAAAGTTTTATCATTATAATAATTAATAGTATTAGACAGACTTTAGCAGAAAGAATCATATGTTTCCTAAGGGAAGAAACGCAGATCAATTTTGACAATAATTTGCGAACAGTAAATACATGATTTGAAGGTAAAACCTTTACATTCATTTTTCACCCGAAGCAAGCCTTTAAAGGACAAAACTCTCGCACAGGTTTCCAATAGGAGAGGGTAACTTTCAGATATAATTTGCTCTTAGCATTATTATTATATCATTATTAAGAATGGTTTGTATTCTGTTTATTTTTAATGACCATTTTGACAATTAGATTGTCTGCAATACTAAAGGGCTAAACATTTTAAGTTTTTGATTAACAGACTTCCAAAGAAATAAGGGTTCTTGGAAAGCCAAAAATAAGGCCTTTATATCTGAATGTCTCTGAGTGGAAGGGAGACAATGTAGTAACTATGCATGGAAGATTTCAGTGCCCCCCAGACACAACAGCAGAATTTTCTGGGAAAACTATCAGCTTTGACAACGGTAACGTATGCATTTTTTGGGTTTTTGCTTTTTGTTTACCGTATAACAGTTAGTATTGTACGTCATACCGAGTTTTAAAATATCACTTTAAAGATTTTTAGGCAGGTAATGTACAGAAGCCATATATTGTTCATATAACACTGTAAAAAGGAGAAGTAAGATACAAAAATGATTTTTTTAAGATAGTATCACGTGATTAATATACTTGAAAAATCTATACGAAGAAAAAAAACCGTCAGTATATCAGTCCCACTTTTGAGTTTTAACATGGTAATAATGATAATGAACTTTTTTAGCAATGTTTGCCTTGCTTCAAAAAAAGAATACATGTATGGACGGTATGAAGTATTTGCGGTGCGAGGTACTAACCTCTGATTTGCCATGTTTGGAATGGATTTTTTAATGGAGTTTGAAATACAATTGGGGAAAAACATTTCACTTCCATTTTTGAATTTTAAAAAACAAAAATAAAAATCATAATGAACTTTCACAAATCATAGGACAAAACTTTGTCATTCACGTAACTGAAAGGTGACTAAAAATCTACTGAAAGTGGAAAGAAGGGCAGGACTCTTTTATTCAGTAAGCTTTCAAGTCACAATTCAGTTGACTGAATTCCGTAGGTTAATCCTGTGATTCTAATTGTTCAAATTTTAGGAATTAAGTTTGAAGTAATGAAATGACCAGTGAAAATATAATGGGGAAATAATGTCAATATCTATGAATTTCTACGCTTTCGATTTATGAAGGTGTATTTTGATGTGTATCTTGCCCACCTCATTTTAAAAAGTGATCGTGTTCAGAGCATGCTCTTTAATATAAAATAATTTGAGAGACATAATCACCATATGCATGTGATGTTGGTATACAGTGAAATAAGGAAATTGAAGATGGGAAAAAAAACTGAAGATATGCACTTTTTCATACGTTAAGTTATTACATAACCAAAGTCATCTGTAGTTCAGTGAAACATCCAGATATTAAACAGATGTGACAGAATCCTAGGTGTCTCTTATTTTGAGCTTACTGAGATGTATCATGTGGCCATACGAATGAATTGAATAGTTACTATTACTTGCAAAAACGTCGATATATATCTAAGAGTTAAAGGTAGAGCAAACCTTTTGGTGTTCTTATAAAGACGTTTTAACTATATTGTACTTCACACAAATTGAGAAAAAAAATAAGTCGAAAAAGAATTTTTATTTATGAAAATCTCTCTTTATGAAAATAATGTTGCTATAGTTACTTCATTTAAATGAAGAAAAAAAATGTACACACCTGACTGAATTGAGCAATTTGTTCTAAAACATTGATTTCCAATGCATACACATGGTATAAAGCCTGAGACTTTTGAAGAAAAAACATTTAACCTTCTATATATAGAAACATTGAAGAGAGGTGTGACAAGTTCAAGGTTCTCGTTTTTACTCTTATTATAACTAATTAATTTCCTAGAGCTATAGTCGTAGAAAAGACGTTTTTATTGAAAATTAAAAAAAATGGAGAGAAAACTGCGTCACAAAAAGCATATTTATTTTGATTTAAAGTAGAAATAAAACTTCATGATATGAATTTAATTGGAATATTTTATTGCAACCATTCATGTAGTTCTTGATTAATTGAACAGATAATTCTCAATTCTAGTTTCGGACTCAATGGATGGTTCATCGAATTTCAAAATGGTTCTCTTTGATGACCGATGGGGTTGGCTGCCCCGACTTACGTTGAGTTCAAAATCTGCGTCCGAAGAAATGCATATTTATTTGAGTGACGTAGTAGACGACAATGTACAGACAAGTTTTTTGGGAACAAACTGTTTAGTTGGAATAAACAGGTCATCAGAAAAGCAATCTACAACATACACTTCTGTTATTCAGAGCTGTAACAACGCTCCAATAATCGAGAAGTTTAACATTGGACTGAATAAGTCTGGTGAGATTATAAGGCTTGATTCAGACGTATACTGCTATGGTTCGAATGACGAATATGGGAAGTATTTCAAATCGAGGTGTTCCATGTATATATCCAACGATCCTTTGTATGTCACATTTTACGAAGAGAACATGGCTGCTGACAATATTGAGTTGTACTATCTCACCTACCAGTTCGACCCTGTTGGACCTTGCAGTCACAACTGTATTTCAGACATCAAAAGATGGTTTTTCTCAGTCGTTTAGATTCAGCAAGTATCTTTTTTTTTGTAAAATCACTTTTTTTATGTGGCGTTAAATTTTCGAGTTTTTGGAAAAAACGATTGATTTTTAATTATTGCTTTCATGGATGAATAATTGCTGAGTGTGATGTTGAGGACATTTTGCATTTCCTGGTGGATATGAATTCGGATGTCTCTTCTTACCTTGAAAGAGACGAAAAATTAACCCCGAAGATTTCACAGTATTAATAAAATAAATGAAGAAATAAAGCATTGAAAATACACTAAACGCCTTTTCTCTTTTTTTTTCTATTTTCTTTGGAAAGAAGGAAAACAGAAGTATATGAATGAGACTGTGTGTGTTTGGAGAGACTGTGACTGATGGATACAATGCAGATATCGTGATTGAGAATGAGGGAAAGGAAACCTTAACAATACTAGAAAAAAAGGTCTGGGAAAGCACACAAAAGTTCTTTCCTAAAGGGGAATTTCTTTTCCCAGTATTGCCAAGCTACATCAATCTGATTCTCACTTATTCTGTAGGAAAAGCTACCACTTTCACAGATTAAAGAAACGAACCAGTATGCCGTATTTTTTGGGGTGAAATTTGTACCCAATTGCAGTAGTTTTGTACCCGCATCTATATTAGGCTGTCCGGAGGCGTAATATGTATTAAAAATATATATTTTATTTTGAGCTAGATTTTAACTTCAATATGTGATCTATGTATGAATTGCAGTCAACTTGTGATGAGAGTTTAATCATATATTATAATAAAGAATTTTTTTTTAATGTCACATGACCTTGTTGATCACATGACGGTCACTTCTTGCACAGAAATCGCATCGGCACAAGTGCAAAACAAAATTACTGTGAAAAGTTTGTTACACAAGTGAATTCATCGTGATCTTTGATCCATTTAAAGTGCCGGGGGTAAATCTGAATCTCACTTCTTAAGAAAATATTTCACGAGAAATTCAACTTACCCGCATACAAGGGGGGTATTTTCGACTCTTTATCGCAAGTTTTACAAAATAGGATAAATTACATACAATCTCTCAGCAAAATTCAGTAAGAAGAAATACTTCTCTAGTAGATTCACACAGAATAACCTCAATTTATCCTTATTAATCACTTGTGCCAGTCAAATATATACACGATTCATAAATTCTTACTCTATCTACAGACATGTAAGGGGGAGCGTTTCAGATTCTTTTTTATTATTATTGTTTGAATATGTGCATATCGGATAAACAAAAGGAATAACGATAATAAACTGCAAATATTCAACAACATAACAGAATATTGGAGCTTTAAAAAATCCAGACACTTGAATTAAACAACAACGCCGTCATATCAGCTCATGTATGCAGTGACTTGACGTCATATGCTATTATGACGTCATACCTAGGTAGTTCAGAGAAGATACTACAGTTTGATATTTTACGGACAGCCTTATCATACCCGCGTCTATTCAACAGAAAAGATCTTTTGAATCATTCCTTAAAAAATCATATAAACTGTTTTAATATGAAATATGAAAATAACGGACAGGAATCAATTTCCAAAGCCACTGTAACAAAAAAAATTGGGAGCAGAGCAAACACGGACCTCTAAAAACATAATATGTGGGATCAGGTGAAATGAAGGGATTAAGCATCCCCTGGTGACCGGTCACAGCTGCCGTGTGCTTCTTGTCAAGACAGGCAAAGGAAAAAATCAATAAACAACTCAGTGTGAAAATACATGTCTAACAGTTTGTGAGGCATCATTCAACTTAACGATACATTGTATTTGCTATCAAGGTCAATATATCTATCAAATAGTTTGCAAAATGTTGACTTTAGACGAGACTGTAGATATCCTTGTATCATCAACTTATTTGTCAAAAGCCTGTTGTTTTAGAAATTGTTCATAGTAGAGCACGTTCTTGCGTATCGAATCATCTGGGATAATCTGAGCTGGCTTTTTTATCAATACATTTCAACACCTGTCCTTCTGTTTGTCATCTTGTGTCTGTTGTCTGTTCACCTCTTTCACGTAAGCACCAGTTGCGTGTTCTCCGTCTAAGAGTTGGTTGTTCTATTTTCAATAAAATATTCTGGTGTAGGCATTAGTTGTTAAAGGAGAAAAAATACAAAGTCAATGCGATGGAGGATAGGGAATACCCTAAACACTTTTTTTTCTGGTGGGAATGGAGATATTTATTGAAATACTCAAGAGAGATTTTCTTCCTGAAACATGAACATGAGATGCCTAAACCTCAAATTCACGCCTCTTCAGTAATAAATGTATTGGCTCGAAGACAATAAAATGCGCACTTTTGCTTCATACAAGCATTACTTCAAGTTCACAGAAGCGTGATTGTTAATTTAATAGTGTTAAATTTCTGCATGTCTAATTTGGTACAAAAGATCCAATATATATAAATCGGTATACGCATTGAACTCGTTTGATCTTGACATGTGTTAATGGAGCTTTGTATTTAATTTATTTTGCAACTAAAACAACTATTTTTTTTTTGTAAATTTATTATAAAAATGCCAGTTTAAAGCAAATACAAATTACATACCTTGGTAAATTGTCACCGCTGTGCTGCATTTCATTCTGTTGGTTACGCTTGACGAGAATCAAACTAATCAATATGCTGATGTCAGGATTTTTCCGTAAAAGATTTGTTGACATAGAACAATATTTTATTGTAAAACAGTTTGTTTAAGTATTCATTCAAGATAAACGTTAATATTATAGGTTCTTTGTTGAAAATTTAAATTGAGAAGTAAACATCAGTTATTATAATTTAAATATACACAGAAATAGTTCTAAAATATAAAAACTTTAACCGATATTAATTTATTTGACTGATCAGAGAGATTTGCTTTGGAATGTCAAGCAGTTCAAGTTTCTCACACGCTAGATACAAAAACATTTAAATTTTGGCTTTCCGGTAAATGACGCAATATCAAAAGTGCAAGCCCTTAATTTGATGTATGCATTTCGGAGATTATTAAAATTCAAATTTATTAATTAATAAGTATAGATATACCTCATTTGCAAATATTTCAAAGAACAAAAATGAGCGACGACAAAACAGTCTTTAAATCCCGGATGTATAAAATAAAAAGACGGAGGGTCAACAACTACAGATGCTTTTTATTGGTTGCTAATCAATTCAATTCAATTGCCATAAAAATACATTCGAAGATTTTAAAATTCTTAATAAAAATGCTTTGCACAATTGGTTGTCTTCTTCAGAATTCATTAAAAAAGAGACGTGATGCTGTTCAACCTTCATACTTTATTTTCAAATATATTTTTCTTAGTAAATCTAAATGATTGTGAAAAACCATCGTTCTTTATCTGCTATACATGGGTGAACACAATTAGATCCAACAGGTTGGAATATGTAAATTAGATAAAGTAGGTCAACTTTATCAGCTGCCATTTTGTCTTTACGAAATGTTACGTATTGGGGTTCGCTGGATATATTCTTTGAACACCTAGATGTAAAATATTTGATATTTTCTTCATTTGAATTAAAACAGAAAATGTCTGAATCAAATCTCAAAATCTCACTAGATTTATTAATTCCAATGATAAAATAATCGGACATGGCGTATTCCTCGCAATTCTGAACAATAGACGTGAACGTTGAAGTTTTATTATCAGAAGAACTGCTAATTCCGATTTTGCACTTTGTTCCGAAACGCTCATTCTGTACGCTCTCGTCCTTTATATCGTTCAAATAAATGTCCAGTGATTCCGATGTTGATTTTGAGCGGAGTGTAAGTTTGGGAAAATATATTTTTGCGTCATGGAACAAAACCAATTCGAAGTCTGTGGAATTTTTCTTTGAGTCCGACACTAAAAAATAAAAAAAAGAATAAATAAGAAGTATTGCGTATATTGTTTATATTTCTCAATATACTTCTAAATCACCCCACGAATTCAAAATAGGTAATTTCACAATAAAAGGTGTTGCAGGCGAACGGACATTCAAAAATTCTGACTGAAACTAATCAAAGTACATGTAATTCATAAATATGAACTGGTGTGTTTTTATCTTCTTTGAAATCATTGAAAATTAAAAAAAAGTTCCTTCCCTTGAAACGGTGTTAAATTACATAATAAGAATAGAGCACACTTTTAATACATTAGGAATTCCGTGATATTGATTTGTCTTATACAATTTATTTGAAAATATACCTTTCTGTTTTTATTATACCTGTTTTACATCTTGAATATATATTATCTTTTTTCTTTGCAATTTTCGATTGCCTTATTTTTTACTTTTAGAAATCAAAACGGCTATTCATTCTAAGTATCATACCAGTTCCGAAAGACACTAAATGTGTAATAAACCATGATAAGGACGAATTAAATACAATATCTATAAAAGAGAAAAATGAAGAAACGCACAAAATTGTTTTGGTTGCGTTGGTCATGAAGACAAATTATCATAACCCGGTTTTGCTATGGCCTTGTGGTGTTATGTTTAAGGCAACAATCAAATTTATACATGTACTCGGAACTCTCGGCCTTCGAGAAGTGAGAGATTCCTTTGGTGCCAGTATCTACTGCGACACGAGACCTCGGTTTATACATCTCATCCGAAGGACCGGTCTCTGCGTCGCACATTGGATTCAAACCCGCGACATAAGGACCAACTCCTTACTCCGAGACTAGAAAAAAAACACTCGAAAATAGCTATTTAACGCTTAAGTGAGCTCTAAATTTATAAATATATGTCTTTTACCTTTCTGAAATTTCAAAATGGTCCCATAATCAATATCTGCAATTGTATCTTCAGGGCACTGAAATCGTCCGTATACAAACACTGTAGTTTCCCTGGTTCTGGTGTTCAGGTAAAGGGGCTTTATGCTTGGCTTTTCAAGAGTTCGCTCTATTTTTGAAACCTGTCATTTCCAAACATAGCAGTATATGATGAAATGCAGCAGAAATAAGTTTCTTATGGGTTTATATTATCATGCATGCCAATAATTACTATGTAATAATAAAAAAACCCATTTATTTCGGAGGAAATGTGCGAATCTTGTGTGTGTGTGTGTGTGCATTCCCAAATCAACTTAGATACTTACACGAAGATTTTACCTATATCCAGAATTTTTCATCGTAGAATGTGAATCTGTGTAAATACGAATTAATTTTTGGAAGATTTTTCCACTGGATATTGAATCTTATCGTTTATCTATTCCTAAGAGAAAGGGAGTATACCTAAATGTATGTGCATGCACTATTGATAGCACTCTAAAGTACTTGCAACCATATTAGTCTTTTTTATTTGTCTACACAAATACCCAAATAAAGGTGAAGGTATTCTTGTTAAAAGATGCTTTGTCAGCTTTCTATTTTCATTTAAAGATGTATTATTATTAACTTTCATATTTTACTCTATACAAGCCTAACCCTAACCAGACAAGAACACCAATAACGTATCTTATGTCATGTTACGTCAGCAAAATTCGGTTATAAATTAAAATTTATAATATTTTTATAAAGAGCTTCAGCTTTCAAGGAAGCTATATAAAAGTTTTGCAAATATCTTTCACAACTTTTTTGTAGCAACATTGGAATAAATAAAAGGTGCCCTCTTATCTTTAGAGTATGGAGACAAACGTCTTTGAATTTGAATATGTCTTATTAATGTAAGAAGGGACAATTAACTCTACGTATCCAATATTTAAATTGATGGAAATCAATTTTTTTTGTGCGGAATGTTAACATCCGGTGAAGTTATAATAATACTTACGCAGTCACACTTGTCAATCATCATCCACAGAACAAGAACAAAACACATTCTTCTAATGTGCCTGTTGCAAATCATACTTCCACCTCGCATAAAGGAGAAAAGCTGTACTTTTGAAAGTTAAAATTTCACAATTGACAGTTTGTATTTCGCAATCACTCAACAAATTATAAATTAGAATAAATTTGTCTAATCTGAAATAAGCAGTAAGTGTAATATGCAAAATTGACTTCTGAATTATGCATTTATCCTAATTGGAGAATAATGGTATTCAATCTCGGATTTAAAAATGTCAAAGATTCATCTCTCTTTTAATGCTTAAAATTAGTCTAATTTGCAACGCTCCCTGTACAAACCCAGGTCTCGACTGATCTAAGTCGATTAAAAGAAAAATAGGTAGCAAATATTCCTTCACAATGCGCTCGGCACTTTGAAGTATAATATGCAGTTCATTCGGATGAGGAGGCCCCGTGTCACGGCAGGCGCGAGCACGATAAAGATATCTCATTGCTCAATGGCCCTGAGTGCCGAATGCCGAGATTTATTGAGTTCTAAGACAAAATAACCTGATATTTTGTAAAACTGGTCACAATTCTGAATAGCGGGGTAGTATGTGGTAGTTTGGTCATTAGATAAATTATCCATTCCAACTAAGCAGTTTGCGAATTCATATGTCGAAACGATATATCCCAGTGAGCTTGAAATAAAAGATAATACAGAGTATGGCACTCTGTTTTATATTTGGATATTTGACTAGAAAAAGACATACATGTAATCTACAAAGCTTCATGACAAACGTGATAACTTTAACTTTTCAATCATCAACTTCCGTACAATATACCTTTATCGTCTGCATAAGGAGTGTATAACTGTCAGTTGATTCGATACGTAAGAGCATGCTCTACAAATGAACAATTTCTAAACAGAGGTAAGTTATTGACAAACAAGTTGATGAAACAAGGATATCAAGCGTCTCGTTTAAAGTCATCATTTCGTCGTAAGTTCTGTGGTCGATACAATGACCTTGTCAGCAAATGCAATCTATCATTAAGTCATATGCTGACTGACAATTTTCATACTGATTGTTAGGCCATTATTTACACATTGCATTGTCGACGGATTTGTCCGTTATTTCCCGATCATAACAAGGAACACATGGCGGCTGAGACGGGTTGGCAGGGGATACGCATTCCTCCATGGCACCTGATCCAACCTCTGATGTTTATGGAGGTCCCTGGTTGCTCTGCTTCTGATTTATATTGTTTTAAGGAACTTTGAGCATGAATACATGTCGTTATCTCCATGTTTCATCCATTACAGAAAATCATGTTTTCGTGGATTTTACTAAGATAAAAAAATCAAATTATCGGATAAAAATGGTTGATCAAAATATATTAAATTATACAAAATGGAACATTTCCGTTTCATCCCCCCTTTTTGTTGTAAAAAATATGTTTAAGTTAAAACAATTATACAAATGACCTTCATTAATGAGAACATTGTAAAAAAAAAAGTTGTGTCAGTAAATTAGTCCAGGTTTTAATTAAAGCAAAGCTAGATCAAATTCTTAAGACATATGGACAAGAGAGGTACATGTAGTTTTTCATTTAATGGCATTTATAGTATGTCGCAGATGGCGGTAATTTTTTTTTACAGTCAGCAGCTCAATTTGTCTCTGAAGTCCATTGGTGTAGAAATTTTAACTACATTAATTATCAGATAAATATGTTTCTAGGAAAGGTGCTTCTATTCTGAATACGTCTTTTAAAAAGCATTATCTATATTATCATCTAACTGTTAGTCCCCGAGGGTCTGTACAGCCCAGTAACATGGTTCTTCGATACTGGTTTGGAAATACGGAGATATATATATATATATATATATATATATATATATATATATATATATATATATATATATATATATATATATATATATATATATATATATATATATATATATGTATGTATATTAGCTCTGATCCTTCGACGTATTTGTCTCTATTCTTTGGCACCTTTTTTCAGCTCTTCCATGTATATATTTTCGATTTTCAACCTTTCTGTTATATCAAAATTGGTACACTATATGATTTATATTATGACCCCTGGGTCGAGGCATCTGTTGGTGGACTGTTAGTCCACGAGGGTCTCTACAGCCCAGTAACCTAGTACAGTAAAACTCTGTTATAACGAAGTCACTGGGACCTGTGAAATTACTTTGCTATATCCGTAATTCGTTATAACCGTATAAGGATTTCGTAAAATTTATATTACCGGAGATCCAACAAAAAATCGCTATATCCGTGTTCGTACTAAACGAGTTTTACTGTACTTCGATACTAGCTTGAAAATACGGATTTATATTTAATTGCTGTGGTCAAATTTATTTCAAAATTGAGGATTATCTCCCTCATGCATAGCTCTGATCCTTTGACGTCTTTGGCACTTTTTTCAGCTCTTCCATGTTTTTTTTTAATTTAAATATTTTGGCTTTCTAAAGTTTCGTCTTAAGCATCACTGAAGAAACATAATTTGTCGAAATGCGCATCTGGTGCATCAAAATTGGCACCGTATATGATTTATTTCTAAAACAGTATTCCTTTATGCAATTACATGTATCCTAATTTACTTATTTTAAAAAAAGTTTATAAACTTTAAGGTGTTTCTATATTGAATATTTCTTATTTTAAAAATCGTAATTTAAAAGCACTATTTCGTTTTGAAAATTACAGCGTTTATTAATTTACAGATTTTACAAATTTTCAAAAGAGATTTCAAGAGATCTGGCACCCGTTGAAATAATTGACGGCTTTGTGATACATTTTTTATAATTATATCTGAACTTTAAATATGTATTTTGTTGGAAAATGTATTTTGTAGTTGTTTTGTTGATAATTCAATTGAGCAAAATGATATCATTCAGAGTAAAGACATGATTGTTGAAGCAATGCGTTTAACTATAACTATTAATCATAATGGCAGCAACGTTTTGATTAAAATCCAATGAATTTGAAATATAAAATAAATCAAACGTGCCATGATATATTTCGAAATTGCTTGGAATCTTAAAATGTTAAAACGGTATTGCTGAGCAGGTCAAAATTGACAAATGCTATCACAGTTCACTAAATTATGTAAAGAATCATATGTGTGTAATTTTTTTTTTTGAAAATAAAAGATAAACTAAGCTTATAAACAAGACTTATTTTTTAATAAAGGAAGTCCTAATTTTGATGAAGATAATTATTGTTTTGTTTTGTTTCAATTAAATGTTTAAGTCTGTTTATTGCTGTTTTATTTTGCTCTTTTTTTGCAAATAATACAACATTTGATTAAATGGTGATAAAAATCTCAGCACAACATTTGCTCTTGCATAGGTTTACAATAGTTATCTACATTATACTACAATAGCTAAAGTTTTCTATAGAAAATACCTTGATTACCTATATAAAAAAAAAATTTAAACACTTTTTTTAGACCTAGGACCTTATAATGTCTCTTTAATTTAATACCAAGGTAGTAATGATTAGAAACAACTTTGTGGATATACAGTGGAATATAGCGATAGTAAGTAATTAAGCTTAAAGATTCATTCAATTGATGCACATTTTGAGCAGAGCAATCATGGACCTCTAAAAAGGTTGGGTCAGGTGACCTGAATGGGGGTACATGTGTAAGCATTCCCAGTCAAACGGTAACTTCAGCCATGTGTTCCTTGTCCCGATCGGGCAAATGAAAAAAAAATCAAAAGTAACTCGGTGAAAATAATGGCGTAAAAATTTTGTCAATCAAAAACTATTAGGGTACCTCCACTCAATAATAATTCTATGTAACGCGTAATCTGATTGGCTCTATATCTTTGCATGACAGGTCCATAAAACTGCAAATTTCTCTTTTGTCGTCATGCATTTCATCATATTCAACTTCTTAGGAGACTTCCTGGATTTTCGTGCGAATCCCTTGTGAGATATAAATTTTTCTTGGCTGAAAAAATCTTCATGTTTCCCGACCATTTATGAAATAAATGTATAATAGATCCCATCTACATCAAATCTTTGCACATAAGAACTTGATAACATGATGTATAACATTTGAATTTCACAAGTAAAATTCTTCAAGTCACAATAATAATAATAATAATAATAAAAAGATTTTTGCTGATATAGTTAAATATAGTTTACTATAGGAAAACTTCACTTAAATGTACTATTTTTTGTTGCCATGAAGACTCAAAGTTATTTTAAATTAATATTTAAAGAATTATGTGTGCGATTATTCAAATTGGAAAATAACAAAAGGTTTTAAGCTTTCTATTTATTTTCTTTTGTACGTATATATTTGTTATCAATACATGCCATTCTGGGGAAAGATACAATATCATGAAACATCATCTTAACCTAGAGGTCTGTAGGAGGAATAAGAAAATATGCATCGTTTAATTAAGTGAATTTTTACAGTGTCATTTTCAATGAAATTACTTGTAATAATACATGAAAACTGTACAAATGTCCAGTCAAACGCTGAAAATGTTTAGGTATGCTTTTTTGTAAGGAAATTTTCCCTTCTTGAATAAACATTATGTTTAAAATATTACATGTATTTTATTTTATTCTCTCTCTCTCTCTCTCTGGATTCATCCAATACATGTACCAATGAATGATCTGCTATACAAACTGCTTTTCATTGTTTAAATTCACCAGTAATTGTTATATGTACCTTGACCTATGAAGAAACTGATTATAGGTATTTAAGCCTGTTTGATCCGTCTCGCTAGATCATCCGATAGAGCGCTCGCTCAGCGAACAGAAGGTTGTAGATTCGAGCTACGAACGCGACTGACCTATGTCGAGAAGAAATAGGCAGCAATTGATCCTTCGCAAAGCAGTAGGCACTTTTAAGTGAAATTTGTGGGTCCTTCGGATGAGACCTTAAAATCCAAAGCCTCTTGTAACAGCAGGCCTTGGCATGATAAAGATCCCTTACTGTTCAATTTCCCAGGATGCCGAGTAAAGGAGTAAATTTGAAGCCTTCACCGGTATATGGAGACTTTTCTTTACGAGTGAAA